CTGCTTCCTTCACACTCCAAACCTCACACTTCACACTTCACGCTTCACACTGCGCTCTTCGCACTCCAAACTTAAACTTCACACTCCACACTGCACACTTCACACTCCACACTTCACACTTCCCACTGCTTCCTTCACACTTCACACTTCACACTGCACTCTTTACGCCCCACACTTCACACTGCTCTAAACCTACGTGGAACAAAAAAAACACTAATGCGACAAAATGGAGAAAATCTGCTGACAAATCACTGTGGCAGCCTTCATGCAGCCACTCCAATACGATTTACGAAGTCGAGCTGCAAAAGACAATAGTATTACAAATGCAGCCACAGCACGAAGCAACCTTGACGCAGCCATTACAATGCGATCTGCAGAGACTGAGTTGCAAAACACAATAGAACTACGCGCAACGGCGTCGGAAATTGTAGCTCCAAAACCGGATCTCGACGCCAGAGCGAAAAAAAGACGATTTTGAAGCACTTTTTAAAAGGATTTTAGAAGGAAAATCACTAGCGCCAAAATGGAGAAAATCTGCTGACAAATCACTGTCGCAGCCTTCATGCAGCCACTCCAATACGATTTACGAGATCCAGCTGCAAAAGACAATAGTATTGCAAATGCAGCCACATCACGAAGCAACCTTGACGCAGCCATTACAATGCGATCTGCAGAGACTGAGTTGCAAAACACAATAGAACTACGCGCAACCGCGTCGGAAATTGTAGCTCCAAAACCGGATCTCGACGCCAGAGCGAAAAAAAAAAGATTTTGAAGCACTTTTTAAAAGGATTTTTAGAAGGAAAATCACTAGCGCCAAAATGGAGAAAATCTGCTGACAAATCACTGTCGCAGCCTTCATGCAGCCACTCCAATACAATTTACGAAGTCCAGCTGCAAAAGACAATAGTATTACCAATGCAGCCACCGCACGAAGCAACCTTGACACAGCCATTTACACTGCGGGAACGATCCTACAGTTGCAAAGCACAATGGAATTCCATCGGCAACTCATCCACCAGCAACACTTGCAATCCCATTTACATTGCGGGAACGATCCTAGAGTTGCAAATCACAATGGAATTCCATCGGCAACTCATCCACCAGCACCACTGGCAATCCCATTTACATTTCGGGAACGATCCTACAGTTGCAAATCACAATGGAATTCTGTCGACCGCACATGCACGAAACACAGTTGAAACCCCATTTACAATGCGGAACCGATCCGAGCATGATCCGCTCATGATCCGACCACACACGAGACCGTCTCGCAACCGTCGCACCGCAGAGGTAGATCATCGAGGTTCGGGGACGGACTTTGTCTGGAAAAACACAGGGTTTCGTGCATCTGCTATCTCTCAAAAACGCATTTCGTGCGAGACTTCCTCCAAAACTCCATCGGCAACTCCTCCACCAGCACCACTTGCAATCCCATTTACAGTGAAGGAACGATCCTAGAGTTGCAAATCACAATGGAATTCCATCGGCAACTCCTCCACCAGCACCACTTGCAATCCCATTTACAGTGAGGGAACGATCCTAGAGTTGCAAATCACAATGGAATTCCATCGGCAACTCCTCCACCAGCGCCACTTGCAACCCCATTTACAATGCGGGAACGATCCTACAGTTGCAAATCACAATGGAATTCTGTCGACCGCACATGCACGAAAAACACTTGAAACCCCATTTACAATGCGGAACCGATCCGAGAATGATCCGAGCATGATCCGCCCATGATCCGAGCATGATCCGACCACACACGAGACCGTCTCGCACCCGTCGCACAGCAGAGGTAGATCATCGAGGTTCGGGGACGCACTTTGTATGGAAAAACATAGGGTTTCGTGCATCTGCTATCTCTCAAAAACGCATTTCGTGCGAGACTTCCTCCAAAACTCCATCGGCAACTCCTCCACCAGCACCACTTGCAATGCCATTTACAGTGAGGGAACAATTTCTTTGCTAACTCTTTCTGTGACTAACTCTTTTCCTCTCCACTCTTTCTTTGACTACCTTGTTTCTTTGCTAACTCTTTCTTTGACTAACTCTTTCCCACTAACTCTTTCTTTGACTAACTCTTTCCCTCACTAACTCTTTCTTTGACTAACTCTTTCCCTGACTAACTGTTTCTTTGCTAACTCTTTCCCTCACTAACTCTTTCTTTGACTAACTCTTTCCTGACTAACTGTTTCTTTGCTAACTCTTTCCCTCACTAACTCTTTCTTTGACTAACTCTTTCCCTGACTAACTGTTTCTTTGCTAACTCTTTCTTTGACTAACTCTTTCCCTCACTAACTCTTTCTTTGACTAACTCTTTCCCTCACTAACTCTTTCTTTGACTAACTCTTTCCCTGACTAACTGTTTCTTTGACTAACTCTTTGTTTGACTAACTCTTTCTTTGACTAACTCTTCCCCTGACTAACTGTTTCTTTGCTAACTCTTTCCCTCACTAACTCTTTCTTTGACTAACTCTTTCCCTGACTAACTGTTTCTTTGACTACCTCTTTGTTTGACTAACTCTTTCCCTCACTAACTCTTTCTTTGACTAACTCTTTCCCTGACTAACTGTTTCTTTGCTAACTCTTTCCTAACTTTCCCTCACTAACTCTTTCTTTGACTAACTCTTTCCCTGACTAACTGTTTCTTTGCTAACTCTTTCTTTGACTAACTCTTTCCCTCACTATCTCTTTCTTTGACTAACTCTTTCCCTGACTAACTCTTTCTTTGACTAACTCTTTCCCTGACTAACTGTTTCTTTGACTAACTCTTTCTTTGACTAACTCTTTCCCTCCTAACTCTTTCTTTGACTAACTCTTTCCCTGACTAACTGTTTCTTTGCTAACTCTTTCTTTGACTAACTCTTTCTTTGACTAACTCTTTCCCTGACAACTAACTCTTTCCCTCACTAACTCTTTCTTTGACTAACTCTTTCCCTGACTAACTGTTTCTTTGCTAACTCTTTCTTTGACTAACTCTTTCTTTGACTAACTCTTTCCCTGACTAACTCTTTCTTTGACTAACTCTTTCCCTGACTAACTGTTTCTTTGCTAACTCTTTCTTTGACTAACTCTTTCCCTGACATTCTAAAAGTCCGCAACACGGAAGTTTCTCCCCCTAAACTTCCTTTGAATATTTATAGTTTCAAATGATACATACTATCATTCATAATATTAGTATAGCATGTTTCACCAGGCCCCGAGCTACTGTAAGGTTTTTGGTGCAATGTACGAACCCTCATCCTTGGTATGAAACGAAGGATGAAACAAAGCCGACATCGAGTTCCATTAATCACTAACTAATCATATATGAACTATATCTATCTCTTAGCATGCTTTCCCAAACCAAATTGTGGTTGGTATATGATACCCCTACTACCTACTAATGTCTATCTACGTTCATTGGTTGAATCATGTTGAAACCCCATGCCTTTGCCCTGCCTCATGGTACCCCCCGTGTGCCCACGAAGTCGTTGTTACGCTGGAAAACGGCTAGGTGGTGCCCCAGTTGGGCATTGCTAAGTTGGTGAGCAAAACTCCAAATTCACCTGGATTCAGGGGAGATTAATGAGATTTAAAAAGGGATCAAAAACCAACGCAAAACTGGGGGGAACACCCTGTTGAATCCTCTTGATAGTTCCGTATTAAAAAAGGAAACAGGAATGTTTTTAGGTCATGGAAACTTCTCGGGTAATGACGTGGTGAACTACCATTTATTTTCAGATCATGTCCTCACTTTGGACAGCTCCAACATTGCAAAAATATTGTTGTGTCCCCGAGCTCAGCTCGGAGAGGAACAAAAAAGGGTGAGATCATTCTCTGCAGCTAGTGATGGAAATGAACATCAATGGAAAGTACCAACCAACTACAAAACCCAAATTTTTGGTTCGATTATGATTGGGGATGGAAACTTGGTACTTACTGACAAGGATGTCTCAACTATGTGAGACAACACACATGGGCGGCAACTAGAAGACTAGAATCCCTAGGAAGTGGTCCTGTGGCTCTATGGACGCAAACTTTAACATCTTTAACATTTGAGTCCTACAAATTCCCAGGTATAATCACCCACCAATGATGGAGTTCCCATTGCCCTTGAAACCAGAACAAGTCGTGTGCAGGACATGTTGATATTTCGGTGACCCATTAACCACCGGTGACCCATGAACCTCCCCAAGTCGGTCCCGGGCAACGATGATTTTTGAGGTTAACATTCTTGCGGGATTCACATTGATTCACATTATGCTGGGATATGGTGGGTATGAGCACCATCAACGGGAAAATATGGAGATTTCATCAACAAAAAATGGAGATATAGCATGAAAAAGCCAAACGCCACCAATATTTTCCATTTTGACTCGCGTTCTTCCTACCAGTAGCAGCTGTGTACCAGCTGCATGTCTTGTGAAATCTGGCATGGACATGCCAGACGCATAGAAAGCCACCATTTCAAAGGGTGGATCTACAGATACAAGGTGGTACCCCCCAGTTATAAGTTAGTGAATAACCCCCATCAACTAGCTCGATATATCATGAAATATCTACCATAAGTCCTTATTGTAGTTATATGTAAACCAACTTAGCTATCGAACTGGGGCACCACTATGTATCTACACGATAGACTTCTTTACAATCTGCTCACGCCCCTACTCTTTGGATTGAACATATGTCAAAAGCAAAGTATAGGACATCAATTGTTTGCACTTAGAAAACCAAAGACCAGCAAACTGGTGCCAAGACCAGAAATCATTGCAGTTGTCCTAAATTTATTTTTGCCAAGGGCACCATAAATGCGCAATCCATTCCGGTGCGCGTGGCAATCCATTTCTGCACAGCCGGACTTCTGTACAACTTCGTCCCAGTCCTTCGGACGTTTAGCATCTTAAATACTTTGAAATCGTGCTGTTTCCCCTCAATATCCACTCTCGTATCACAACAATAATCTTCAATTGATACTAATATCAATCAAATATCATCAAATATCAATCAATATTAATGAATTCTCCTCAGCCGTTACCTTCAATTTATCAGGCTCTACGATTTCCCCCAGGATGGCGGCATCCCGGATGCAGCGAGCCATCTCTAGGCGTTGCCATAGCCCACGCGGTTCACCGGGGGACTCCCCTCCAGGCCCGACAGAGTTCGTGGCATTCCGCAGATGTGGATCTTGGATGCGGCAGCTGGGGCTCCACTTAAGCAATATTGGAATCCCATTGATGATGAAGTGGATATAATATACCAATGATTAACCATATGATGATATATATAATAGAATATCCCAATGATTAATTGGCTTCACTTAATTGATGATATAATATACCAATGATTAACCATCATTTACCATCATTAACCATCATTAACCATCATTAACCTTCTTGAATTGCAAGAATTGGGATACTGATTCATGATATGTACTGGAGTAACTTTCAAGGGATGTAAACTGATTGTACACTAGATATGTACATGTAAGTACTGTAAGTTCATCTCTTACATGATGGTTGGAATTGATTGTAAACTGAGTGGTGTGTGCCAGATATTTTTTGAATTTGACCACCTTGCAAGTGGAGATTCAAGAGACCCACAGATGGAGGTATCACCAAAACTATGGGGATGAAGTGGGCTATACTTACACTGTCATCCCCATTATATGGACTATTATGAAACTGATTATTATTATTATTATTGTGGCTATAAAATTTTGGGAATAGCGTAGGTACTTACACGGTCATCCCCATGACTAGAGGTTGGTGATGAGTGAATTCCGGGAAAAATGTGCATGAGAATCCTACCAACAAACTAGGTAGTATAGCTCTGAATGGGCAAATAGACCAAACATTCAATTAAACCCTCACGAGTCTCGGTTTGCATGGAAAAATGTTGCTGTACTTGGATGTGCGGCCCCAAGAATCGTAATTGAGTTAATCATAAACCAGAACTGGGTATATCCCATCAATCAGTGGGATATACCATGGTAATAAAAACCATGGTCAATTTTTAAGTAGTCACATAAAAGGCAAAATCCATAAACTTTGTGTAAAGTATAGACTATAGACCATAAATCCATATAAGTTCATATAAATCCATAAACCAGAAATATGATGATTTATGGATTTTATGATATTGTAATCCATCCATAGTCCATAGTCCATATAATCCATAAATCCATATGAATCCATCATCATCCATGTTTGTTTGCCCGCTTTTGGTCGTTTGATGATGAATTTTCCATCCCGTGCCGTTGGAGCTAAGGAGCGCAGCCCTGCCAAGAGCTGCTGTGGGGTCGAACCTTCTTCTTACCCGTGGCGATCAACCTGCGGAGCAGGCAGTCAAGGGATACACCACACACACGCCCTGCTGCCGCAGGGTTTTTTCGAAGACGCACCAATCTCGTGAAACAAAGCTCTGATACGGTCAACTGGTCTCGGATCTAGAAATCAAAATGCCAAAGACAAAATGAATTGTAGAAAATGGAAGAGGGATGTTTTTGCATGAAAACATTGGTGATTTCACCATCAAAACTGGGGATTTTGGAAAATTGGTGAGATGAACTATGATCAATTGATTTAACCATTGACAAATTGGGATTTAAGATGCTTTGTTTGTATCAACACATGTGAATTTCATGGGATTTCACGGCCTGTGGTGGAGAAATGCGGACATTTCATGTGATTGAAGGGCTTCGGTGGGATTGTATCTGTCAAACTATCCATCAATCTATATCAACTTGATGTACTTTATAAAAGAAAAAACTGCAATCATCATCATGATCATGATCATGATCATCGTCATCATCCTCCTCCTCCTCATCATCATCACCATAATCATCCGCATCATCGTCAACATCATCACCATCATCATCATCATCCTCATCATCACCATCATCCTCATCATCCTCCTCCTCATTATCATCATCATCCTCCTCATCATCGTCATCATCCTCCTCCTCCTCATCATCATCATCATTGTTATCCTCCCCCTCCTCCTCATCATCGTCATCATCATCATCCTCATCATCATCATCGTCATCATCATCACCATCATCCTCATCATCATCATCATCCTCATCATCATCATCATCCTCATCCTCATCCTCCTCCTCATTGTCATCATCATCCTCCTCCTCCTCATCATCATCATAACTCAAAAAAACATGATCTAAAATTATGTTCACCAAACCATAGCTTATTCTTATTTTTTAAAACTTGAAAAAAAGCGCGAAAAATGCAAAACAAATGGAAAACACAAAAAGCAAATCAGCAAAATCCAAAACACACAAAAGCAAAATAAAAGGAAAAAAAAAGGAAACAAAAAGGAAAGACAAAAAGGGAAAAAAATGAAAAAAAAAAAAAGGACTTGTCCATTTGCATTTTTGTTGCTTTTTTTTTGCTTTTTCGATTTGCTCTTTTTTTGCTTTTGTTTTGCTTTTTGTTTGCTTTTTTTTTGCTTTTTGCCTGGAAAAAAGCAAAAAAAAGCAAAACAAAAGCAAATCGAAAAAGC